AAAAACAAATTTCACGACAAAACCAAACACAAAACAAATTTTCTCCCATTCAGCTTCCCCTCCATGGCTCCATGCCTCCCTGCTCAGATGCTTTGTGTTTTCAAATTCCGGATTTCCGGTGGCGCCCCCCCGGCCATCCCGCCGCGCACCACCCCCACTCCGGCATCGGAAGGACGCTCAAAGGGCGCCCTTCCAGTTCCAGCAAAACCCCCACCCCTAGTTCGAAATTTTTATTTTTTTGGGAGGGTTGGCGCCTCTCCGAGTGGCAGTGTGGTTTCGCCCATGTTCTCACTTTAAGGCTTACTTTTATTCACATAATAGTTGTTTTACATATTTATATGAAAAAGTAAAGTTAGTTGGGCCATATAATGAAAAGTTAACTAAAAGTAAACCTTAAAGTGAGAATAATCTAAAATGTAAACTTTCTTTTGAAAAAGTATAAAATTCAGGTCTTAAAATACATATACTAAAAGTTAGGTCTTCCAATGAATTTCTCCGCTCAAAAATTATTGTGTAATGTGAATTAAAAGTCATGAGAGTGGACTCCATCATATTATTTTAATTTTAAAAAATCGAAGAGTATGGAAAGTCATCTAGAAATGGGAGGGTCCGCAGAGGGTCCGTTACTTCCTCAGGCTTGCAGCCCGTGACAGTTTGTTGACAAATACAAATCGGCGACGTCGCCGCATGGCCCCGAGCTCATTGTGCACGATTTGTTTGATTGATGGTGAATCAACGTGACATGCCTTACGAGATTGTCATGAGGCGACTAAAACTTGGATGAGGTTGGTTCCTCGTGCTCAGTAGAGTGAGTTTTTTTCGTTGGACCTTAGAAGTTGGTTCCTGGCGAATTTATCTGGGGTATCTCTTTGGTGGTTGACAATTGGGAATCCTTGTTTGGTCTCACAACTTGGCGTCTATGGCGGTGGTGGAATTTAAAATTATTCCAAGGGATCGATACTACTGTGGCTCAACAGGTTAGCGAGGTATTTTCTTATGCGGATAAAGTGCGTGGGGTACTGGCTAGTAGTAGAAGAGTCAGGGCCCGCCGGATGCGTGAAACACATTAGATCTCTTGGTCTTGCCCGACATAGGATGGGCTAAAGGTTAATACGGATGGTAGCTTTAACCCGACGACGGGGATGGCGAGCGCAGGGGGTGTCATTTGAGACCATCATGAGAGATGGGAGCGTGGGTTTTTTTATGAATATCATATTCTACTCTATTACCGGTTCCGAATTAAGGTGTTGTTCCAAGGGCTTTAGTTGGCTTGGGATTCTCAAAAAATATTAAAGTTAAGTTTGATAATAAGAGCATCATTCAGATGGTACAGGATGATAACTACAGTGGACCGTATGGGAGTGTGTTGAAAGGGATTCAGGAGCTTATAGGTCGTCCTTGAGCTGTGGAGATCATTCATGGATATAAGAAAGCGAACGTTGTTGCGGATTATTTGGCATCATTGGCGGCTAAGGGTTCAAGTGTCTTCAATGTTTGGAGTGCCCTCCGTCGGGGCGGGCATATGGTTACACCACGATATGGTCGGTGTGTCTTATCCTCGGAAGATTGTTATCTAGCATCATGTAGGCATTTTGCCTCACCTAATATATATATATATATATATATATATATATATATATATTATGAAATATTATATTAAGTTTTTTTTATTCAACTTTTTGTTCCATCTTCAAATCAAGTTTTGTTTATTCAACTTCAACTAAAAATTTATTCAGTTTTGTTATTTTTTTTTTAATTTTCGTATTTATTAAAAAATCTTTTTCATTTTTACCAATTTGTTTTTTTTTTTCATTCATGTGATCAATCAATTTTCAATAATTAATAATAATATAAGATTTAAAAAATCGATTTGGTTTACAAATCATATATGTAGAAAAATAATGATTAAGATTTCTGTAAAAAATAATAATTAAGATTTACAAATTCGATTTGATTTACAAATCATGTTTGGTAATAGAATCATAATTAGGCAGATATAATTATAAATAAACTATGGCCTTGTTTGGCGATCAGCGGATAGCGGATAGCGGATTGTATTAGCGGATAGCGGATAGCGGATTATATTAGCTGATTTGACTAGCGGATTGCATTAGCGGTTTTTAAATAAGTGTTTGGTAAATAGCTGAAAGCATATAGCTGTTTGACATTGCAAATTACCAATAAGAACATTTTATTATTTAGGGTGTATTCTTTTAATAATAATATGTTAAAACATTTAATATTTTTTAGTTGGTAATTAATAAATATATATATTTTTTTTAATTTTACTAACACTTGATTAAGAAGTTACGAATTTTACATTTTTCTAGATAAATTAAACATATAGATGACATATTATTATTTGTTAGCATCATAAACCAATGTAGATTGTAAAATAAATGATACAAATTAAAAAATTCTAAATTAAATTGTAGATTGTGAATCCTCTATCCCCAAAAAGCTCCTCTAATGAGCTTTCTCTAAATTAGAGTTTTGGGCCTAAAAAGCTTATCAAATAAGCTATTTACCAAACAAGTTCAATAGCAGATTTGACGGGTCAAACATCTCAATTAAGTCCAATCCGCTAA